TTTGTACTTGCAGATGCAACGCCAGATTTCCAAATAGCGAGTTCTGCGCCTTCCTCTGTACAGTCAAATTGGATTTACTGCAGAAGAGGGTGTGTGGGAGTGTCTGGGGCGGAAGAACAGATTATATGTGACTGACGAGGTAGAGGCTCTCCATAGAAGGGATTTTAAGGGCACGTGATGACGTCATTCAGCATCCATCCATATCATATCACATAAAAAAAATCTGAATGCAAATCTTCAAACTTCTATGAATTCAAGTACATTTCTTACAGAGAGTAGCAATTTTTCCAGGGGAACTTGTGGCTCGTATCTTAACTCCAACGTTCAGATTTCACTTCGAAGGCCTGTGGGACTGATATATTTCGTGTTCTTCCTCAGCCTGTCAAGGAAATGCTCGCCTTATAACGACGATACTGGCCAGCTGTCTCTTACTGATTTCCTCAGCCTGTCAAGGAAATGCTCGCCCTATAACGACGATACTGACCAGCTGACAGTGATTTGTGTTTGTAAATAAACTCGACTGAAATAAATTGAATTTAACTGAATAGAATGACATTGGTTTAGCGAACAGCATATTCGCACAGAATTGTAAAATTCTAGTGTAAAAATTTCAAGCCAGAGACACATTATCATGGCTGACACTGTTCAGATTTTGTTAATTTGTTTACAAAGAATCGCGTCTTGATATTTACGGAAATAAACGAAACAATTAACACATTCTGTTCGTCCCACATGTCTTGCTGAAAGTTAAACTGGTGGTACAGACAGTTACCACTGCGCCAGACAAGATTAAGACACTCATTCACACCTTACATGTAAAGAACCTGCTTTGTTAAGACATTTCTTTAGTAACGATAATTTCTGTTGTTGAAAGTTTAAGAATAATTAAAAGGCTTCAGAACGTTTAGGACGAAAGAAACAATTTCACGCCTTCTTGTAGCTATTGAGATATTTTATTATTTTGCTACTGTTGGTCTGTAACAAAGAAACGATCGCCTATCGCAGTTAAAATGAGTAGATTAAAACTATATGTTAATAAAAAATTACGATGTTTTTTATATACCAACATGGATAACAATAGGTTTGTAAATGTGGCTACAAATTAATATTGTTATTTAATTTCCATTTCCCAACACAAATACACAATCAATTAAAGACAAAAATATTGAAATATTTTTTAAAAGGATTTATGAAACAGCAATGAATTTAATTTACTCTCTTCAGTTAATTACTCTACGATTCACTATGACAAAATATTCTTCTAATCTTTAATTTAGGGTCAATTACTGTAATTAAAATATTTAACATCATTAGAGCGTAGACCGAAAGTGTTAATATATTTTCAAAACGACTCTGTCCGCTCCACGAGGACGTTTGTGAAATCAATTACACGGGCAACTATTTAATACAGCAACGGATCTGGTGGAAAGCAACCCCGAGTACATTCACCATCTACCTAAAGCCAAAACATTTTTACGCGCAAAATCTACGGAATTTTTCTGTGCAGATTTCATGTTTCGACTACCAGACCTGTAAGGTTTAACCTGTGGTTACCAGGTGGGGCCACCAATTATCTTGACTAATATTACAGATCGTAATATGGGTAAAGTTTAAGCTTCTCCTAAGTTTTATTCCAAATTTCACGATTTATCTTGCATACTTCCTATTAATTCAAATCCTAAATATCATTTCCCACCTTCAGCAATCGTAAATTACTTCTTACGATTACCTAAAAGCGACTATGAAATATTTTATTGCGTTAGATTTCAGGATCTTACGACAAGATGAAAATGTCATTTGGGATGTAGCACTATGTAGTTCGATGGATGTTGACCGACGTTTCAGAGCAGCTTACTGCCTCTATCTTCAGGGTGATTAATGAATGATGATGGAGCCATTAAGCTGCCCTGGCCCGATATGTGGCAAAGTTGCGTTTTACCTTAAGGTTCAAAAGCTGTAGACGTGGGTTTAGTACTCACATGATTAGATCTGCTTTATTTATTAGTGATACTCCAATCGGCTGCACCAATACTAAAGTTACATGCAATCGAATGAAATGATAAGACGATTTTCTTATGATAAAATGAAAAAAAAAATTCTGTGTGGAAGGACCTCTGGTCTATTCTAGGGAACTGTTCGAACATCACGTGATATAAACGAATGAAAAAGTAGAATTACGGTTTGCCGTTCGATATTTTGAACAGGGGACGTCGAGATTACGAAAAAGGAGGTAGAGGATTAACGCAAAAAAGTACAAAGGAACAAAGAAAACGACGAAGGAGCATGGAATGAAATAAAACACTGATTTCGTATAAAAGCCAATCAGGATTCCTGTCAGTCAGGAGAGCATGTGCTCCGATAGACTGACGCAGATTTCAGCAGCGGCTACATTAATTGCATAGCTACGCGTCCATCATCTGCAAACCGTATCTAGCCTATCCATCTGCGCCTCCTTCCTCTTCCTACAGCTCCTCACTTATACATGCCGAGGAATTAGAACGGTTACGTACAGGCTGTACAAAAATGTCAATTCGGCTTGTCAGAATACATCCAAATTGTAAATTTTCGTGCGTAGCTTAAGCGGCAAAATTTTATTCTTTCCTTAATCAGTCCAGTCGTTGGTCACTGTTAACCAATGACGACGACAAAAAATATGACGTCATAAGTCATAACGGCGTGGCGTGTCCCAGTCTTTCGGGATGGAGAAGACAGCTACCATATATGAAGGCTGCTCAGAAAATATTACATAAGTAGTTAAGTACGGACGACAATGGGTGATCCTTCAGCATGTGATGGGTTTAAGGGTCTAACAAACCACGTTAAAACGTTATGAAATGTCAAAAAGGGCCTTAAACTTAGACGGACTCTTAATCAAATAGTATTATGGTATTAAATCAAGGAGGATGAGATGGGTGGGACATGTAGCACGTCACTATACAGCCAGTGCCAGCATATAGGGGTATACGTCCGAAAATTACAATCTAAATAAGATTTATATTTCTTAATATACGTAAATGAGCAAAAATATAACTTCAGGCTTAAATTCATTTTTACAATGTGTAATTATATTTATATAAATGCTGGGTGAAGAATCAATATACCAAATTTGTGAAGAATTTTCTGAAAACTGCTGTTCGTTCTCTAAATTTGGGGCATTTACCCTCTAACCCTGGCACAGAAGAAGCAACTTAAATCCCTCCCGTTTAACCTTCTCAAATTCGAAAAATAAAATGTGGCGTTCTATAGACTGACTAATCTTACGATGATGAATATGACTGAATCTGTGGTATCACTGTGCCCTGATACATCTAAGATCTAATGGCCAGAAAATTCCAACCTTCCTCCTTGTATTCCAAGGACGAAACGTGTGAAACCCACTTGCAACCAGGAATTTAATATTTACCCCAAATGAATTCAAGAGGAGGACATGTACGCAACGCATGGCTGAACTTTATAACGTGGTAAGGGAAATGTACGGCTCTTGGGAATGTAGCTTGAAATATCTTGAATATCTGAGTTAGAATATGGTCATCTACGCAACATTAAGCACTGTAGGGGAAGAAGGTTGATTTCCTCAACAAGAAGCATCTGTGTGTCAGCAGAACAGGATACGCGAGGGCGACTGTGCGGGAAAAATGGATAAAATGCATGACGTCTCCTCATTTCATCAAGTATCACCTGAATGTAGCGCGTCACATTCTGAAAACGAAGACGAGGGAACGGAGATATAGCGATACAGTAATTACTTCCGGTGGAGGAAATACGAGTAGTTAATTCCGAAAGAGAGCCATGAAGATATACAGTCGATGTAAGGATCCTGAAGGAAACGATCGTATCATAGAGACAGACGAAAATGCCTAGCCTATGTCAAAACAGCTCGTGTCGGAGTCGAAGATCTGCATAATTTATGAAACAGGCTGTAGTGGGATCTTCACCCTCTCGTGAGTTATTGCCAGCGACGGTCAGCATCTGCCTGCGGTCCTCACAGCTGTCATTAGGACTCAGAGCGACTGTTCTCCAGGCCAGAAAATGTACTGCACGGAATCAAATACGTTTGTGTCTTGAGCCACGCCCTTCTGAATAGTCCAGAGTTGCCAACGGATTACAACGGAGGGTGTAAATATTTATTACAATTCAATGTGCACCGCGTTCAATACAGGTCTTCCGGTCAGAAGCGCATTTCCATTGCTTGAGTACCTTATCAAAAACATGAGTTTATGTTTCATGGACCCACCATTTAAGCATCTGACGCCGCAGCGAAGCTCAATGGAACTCAGTGTTATGCTATCAAGACTGAGCAAATGCTAATGCATAACGGCTGTGAGTAGTTTATAAACTTTCAACGGTCGCTCAAGACACAGTTACATTGATCGCAGTGTTCATACTCAATTTTGTCAGTCTGACATCGTATATAACCAAGAATTTAAGTACCAGAACGATAATTAAGAAAAAAATGTGGAAGGAAGAGACAAAAACCTAAATTAACGTACCATTTCCACTATTTACCTGGGATAAAAACTAACCTTTTGCAGCCAGGGCAGTTAGCCTCTGCACATCCCAAAAAAAACAAAGCAAGTTTAGTGCATTTCTCAGACATAATTTACTTTGTTAAAATCTAATCAAACTGTAGTTATCAGATTGTAACGAGCAGAAATTATTTATACCTTCATTTCGAAAAAAAAAAAACTGAAGTCGATACAATGAACAGCTCTTGAGAAAAAAACAATATAAATCGATTTTTAGTGGACCTGCACGTAAATTGGATTTACAAATACGTGTTTAAATTAAACTGGCTAAACAGTTTCGGGGTCGATTTTCACCTCCTCACATATGTAAATCCGTCATTCTAATGGAGTGACCGAAGAAAGTAATTAACATAATAATTAGATATATATAATTGGTGCATTGCCATAAATTTTAGCTGTGAATACCTACAAGAAAAGCATCTACAACGAGACAGTCCTGAGTAGCTTCTGGATGTTAACGGGCTTTGTACTTACCAATGACAGTAAGGTTGTAGCGGAAGCTACGAGTCGGCGTATTCCGGAAGTCGACTCTGCAGCGATACACACCCTCGTCACGTAACCGGATGTCCTCCACCACGAGCTGAGCAGGTTCGGATACTGTGCGGAAGTATGCCCTGTTGCCAAACACTTCAGGGGCCGACCAGTGTCGGGCTTGACTCAGGGGCTTGCCTCGAACGTCGAAACTGCAGACAAACCAGAAAGCAGTTAACAAATGCCATCCTAGGATCTCAAGATGACAAACATTTCGACGCTGATCTGACGTCGCGTGGACTAGATGGTACGTATCAACATTTCGTAGGAACGCATCGCCACCAACTACAGCCCCGACAATGGAGGCAGTGAGTTCCTTCGAAATGCTGATATCTACATACGATTCCACACGGCGTTGCTGCCGAGAATACCAGCCCCGGGCCAGATGAACAAATACTGAAAGCCCCCGGTAAGATAAACCAGGGTATTCATCATTTACGAGCTCTACGTTTCGTAGTCTTCTTGGGAAAGAAACGCATTTGAACAAAGTGGTTTCGTAGGGACATCAAACATAATAGATATTCTGAACATCTTTTGGTACCGTGTACCGATTCATAATGTTAAATTAGTAGATAACTTCTTTCCACGTGTCTTCCCTAAGTCTGGACTAAAAAACATTGTTTTACTACTGAAAAATTGGGATCCTGCTCAAATATCAAATACTGTCATTGACATTTCCAACGGAAAATCTGAAGTAGAATCATTCAATGGATCCGGACTAGTTATGATTACGAACGTGGATATAAAGATATGAGGTTAACACAAACACATTTCTTGTATACAAGTACACGATTTCCATTTTACGTAATTATAAAGTGCGATATTTAAGAGTGCGAATTTGCGTGCCGCTCTGTGAACATGCCGTCTCTTTCATCATAAAGCTGCTTCATATATTGTGACAGAACAATCAATCACCCCAAATTCATTGTAAGGACGAGGTAAAATATAATAATTCAAATTACACAGTGATTCCATAAAACTCTCAAGACTTTAGAAATATTAATGGTACTAATCATGAACAACAAACTTGATCAACAAATTCAAATTTACGGTTGATGACTGTCAAGTCATTTAAAAAGTTACATACAATTAAATTCCCGTTAGAATTAACTGAATTTTCTGGTTGATGACTGTCAAGTCATTTAAAAAATTACATACAATTAAATTTCCGTTAGAATTAACTGAATTTTCGGCAGTTCCACCTTCGCAGAAATAATCCGTCACACGACTACTTAATTTACGAAAACAGATAAAAATAGTTTTATTAAATACCCCAGAACAAAAGACAGTATTTAATATGCATTGAAGCATTTCAGTCTGGATGTTTGATAATAGCTGTGCGAACTTCGTCCAGCCATAATTAATCTTCATCATTCACAATGGATTCCATTAATCTGTATGCAAAATAAGACGCCTTTAAAAAGAAATAAAAATTAAAGAGTAGTTACTTAAGAACGTGACTAGGACTGAACAGTAGATTTCCGTGTGGAACGAGGAAGCGGAGGGGAATTTTGCAGAATAGTACAGTCATTCCATGTATGGACCAACTCCACTCGTAATTAAAAAAAGTTTTCCAGCCTTTCACCTCCAGCTTTCTTTTATATCAATCCACTGTAACAGTAAAGTTTAAGTCTGTGATCGAGTGCTATATTCTTCAGTTTTCTTTTAGCACTCCAGGGCGATATTAGAGCTGAAATTTACCGTGGTCATATTCATGAACAAACTAGTATAAAAGCCCAATTGAAATTCAACTGGGTAATATTTCCTTCGTACCTTTATCCTTGACTCCTTTCTTCACACCTTTACATTACCCAGAAGCACATTTAAAGCAGGGCAACTGTTTGCATCAGTTGACAGATACAGAATAATTCTACCTACCATCATTTCTGAGAACTAGATCAGATTCTATGCGTGTCGCTTAAACAAATGATCGCTTTAGATCGAAATGTTCACTTAAATTTCATTATAGTGCAGAATATATTGAAACCTAAAAGCCTGGCAAGACTTTAATTCGAAATGTATCGGATATTAACTTGGATAAACTGCCAGCTTAATGTCAGAAATATCCAGTAGTTTAAGTCAGTCTGTCCGTGCGAACAGTGGGCAGGTCCTTGAAACATCTCGGTTAAAATCCTTTTCTTTGTGTGATCACCTGTCCACTGTGATCTTCCGAGACTGTGACGTGGCGTGACGGCGTAAAATATCACCATCTGCCACTTCAGTTGAATAACTCAGTAACCAGCCAATCAATTCAATTCAATTAACACTGTAAAATTATGTACTAAAATGTACTGTTATTTTAGATATTGAATACAGTAAACGTATAATGAAAGAGAAACTAATTTCGTTTAATTGATCCATTCTGAAACATCTCAACGTGTTTTAATTGTTTCCCTGCGAATCTATCACGGGTTGGTTTTACATTATTACGCAGTGTACACCTTCATTTGTTTACACGTTATTACAGATAAACAATGCTGTGTATTTTTATACGCACCCACATACAGCTACGTCATTTAACAAATGCATGCGATATGTATTATTATTGCAACATTTCCAAAATAACAGAACCAAATGATATTGAAAACAGCTCCATTATTACGCGTAGACAGTGTTATTCTTCTATATAATAACCACGCTATTTACTACAATTGAAATAACTGATCATTTGATATTAACGGCGTTCGACTATCATATGTTTATACAGTGCATTATATGCAATCTGATTCTTAGTTTACTAATCAACAGTTTATGAAGTAATGAATTGGAAAATACTCTGTTGATGTTTTATGGGTTTTAAACGCCTTGTGGACTAGCAGTAGGTACCAAAATTTCGGAGGAACAAAGTGGTTTTATCTTCAGACAGTCTTATTTCAAGTTATTAATCTAAAAAAATCAGAAATGAACACACCACCGAAAAATCTCACTCATTAGAGCCGACTTGTTTGCTCAAAACCTGAATCTTTCGAATATAAAACTAAAGTTCTAACCACTCCACTGCTAAACCGTACACAGTCTCTTTCCAGGTATGTAGTTGTTTATCAATTCCTTTTCAAGTCCATACCAAATAACTGTAGTATAATGCCGAATGGTAAATCATGAAATAAGGATTTCATTCAAATTTTTGTAGTCTATTTTAAGACAATCCACTGGGCTGAGCTGATTACACTTCCCAAAACTAGTTATCGATATCTTCGTCTAAGTCCGAGGTCACGTGAATTATTTCAAAATTTTGGTTCAAAATCCGAAGGGAAGAAGTATCTTGGTAGACCTAGGTAAAGATGGGATAATGTTACTAAAACTGATATTAGGGCAATAGGGTGGGGGGTTTTATTGGATTAATCTGGCTCAAAACAGGGACCGGTGTCAGGCTCTTATGAATAAGACAGGCCTGAATGAACGTTCAGGTTAAATAAAAGGAGGAGAATTTCTTAACCAGCTACGCAACTATTAGCTCTTCTTGACGTACTCTTCTCCATGGAGATAGTTTAGTTTATACAATTGCTCATGCCTCACAATCCATACAAATCCAGTGTTGCAAAGCCAGTTATACTATAGGCTGGCAGTCGTATTGTAAGGTGCCCAGATAAATCTCAATTATTCGGTTTCCGCCTGCTAATCGCTAATGCGCCATATCTCGTTCATCTATCAGAGTCCCATGAGGTGAGCGACATCCCTGACCAAGCAACCATTATCACAGCCTCGGTCGTAAGTTACAGGCTCCATCTCTGCTCCAGCACTTGGCTGGTCGATCTCAGAATAAAGATACTTTTGTCTTTATAACTGAACACTCACCGCATCTAATATCATCTCTGAGATCTTTATTTTAAACCATATTAATTTCGATGAGTTTCAGATAAAGTAGGGATAACTTGGCCAATGAATATCAAAACTGACTTAGTACAGCAATGTTTTACGTATGCTTCAAATACCAAATTTAATCGGAATAAGTTCATAATTATCGAATATGAAATATGAGGGCGGAAAGACACGGTCTCCCATGTATGCATTCACTTGATACACTCCATGGAAATAAGGCATACAGGCACGGCATGTCCGGTCGTGAATGGACACGTCCTTTGTGCCGTATTTTAAGTGCACGCCCAAATACGGCCTCAGACCATGCCACAGCTCAGGCAGTTAGTCGCCGGCCTGCAACCGCGTAGGTCCGTGTTTAAGCCCAGGTCTCTCCGTGTAGGATCTCAGAAGACAACGTGGC